TCAAACCATAGATAAATCATTCGAAGGTCAGTGCTTGCCAAGCCTTGACCGGCAGAGGCGAGTACGGCGCAACCGTCAGGCCCTTTGTGCATCCTGCGGAGATCCCGGCCATGCCCTCTACGACTGGTTCTGTGCTGCATTTGTTTTTTCTAAGCTGGTCGTAGCTATGTGTGCTTGCAAGCTTGCACCTGTGCCAAAATGCTTTCTTTAGCATGACAATCCACAGCAGACAGTTCCTGCGCAGGCACCGCAAAGATGAGCAGCTATCTTCGCCAAACTCCGTCGAAAGTTCCATGTTCTGGACAAGGCTTGAACATGCACGAGCTTCCATACCACACCTCCTCTGCCTGCCACGTGCCCTCTGGCGCTGAATCTCCATCCCAGACGTGCGCACCACCAGACGCACAGCTGGCCATTGCAACGGAAGCCACTCAAAACCACGGCATGGACTGAGGATGGGATAGGAGCTGATCAGTCTGGAACGTGCTGGGTGACTGCAGGTGTGCATTTGGCTTAATCTGTCAGCTCGGAAGCATGCTCATATTCATTGCAGAGCTGTGAGGCAGCGGACGCGAAAAGTATGTGAAATCTCAAAACCTGAGCTGAGACACTACTTTTTTTCCATCATCTTGCCAAGCTAAATGCCAAGCAGTCAGACCTGGTACCTCAGCACATCGGCACATTCCCCTTTCTAAGTGTTGCTTCTAGCCTCTCAGGTCACGGCGGCGTGTATCTGGAAAACCCACCGGACTGTGAGAAGCCCATCCCAGCAGGTGCTGCAAATGTCTGCGCCTGGTTGCAGCCCAGCCAGCAGGCCACTTGCTCAAAGCGTTGGAAGAACAAGATCTAAGAAGCCAATCATGCCAGCTGCTATGAGAAACGGATGGCAACTTGCAGTTAAGGCGGAGACAGCCTTGCCGCTGCTTTGCGACCTCTAGCATGTATCATACAACGAGCGCGGACCCGCTCGACCCTTGGCAGCTTGCTGGAAGTACGTCACCGTTACTGGAGCTGTCATAGAGCCGATCCTTGGAATCTGACAAATACGAGCATGGCCAAACACATTTCATGAAATCTGATCCAGTGTCCTTGGCTCGTACTTTTGGTGCAGCGCCTTGGTCAAAGCAGTTTGCAAGTCGTGTGGGAATATGCGGGAATTAAATCAAAGGTCTTATGGCCTTCAAAGCAATCTCGGCCTCAGAAGGTGTGGCCTGCCACGATCCATGTACAAGCAATCGAAGGCGCCAAGCGAGGATGGAATGCGGCAGATCGGCCATTTCCACAAATGCGCACGCACTGCCGAACTTTGACTTTCCGGTCATGACCTGGGAGCTAGCATAGACACATGTAGAATGTTGAACAAGTGCCTGCTTCTGGCTGAGACCGGCACATGCACGTTCACTACCCGTCCCCATTCTCCAAAGACTTGACTCAACCTGAGACAAGTCTTCAAATCGAAGTCGACTCTGCATGGATTCCGTGGCTTGGTGTTGGTTCGTCCCTTCCTGCACACTATCTTGCAGTTTGGCCTCAGTAGCTACGGCTTTCTGAATAGACATTCGAAGGACACCTGAAGCTGAGACTTGACACAAAAAAGAACCGAACAATTAATTCGGCATGTGGCTCCAAGCACCAACGAACCCTTCAACGCAATCTGGGAGTCAAAAGGAAGACCCGCTCTTCACAAAAGAAAGCGACTGCACTGGCAGAAAAGGGATCGTGGCTCGCAGTACCGAGACTCGCTACTAAGGAGAAAAGCTTCACTATAAAGACGCCGAATAAATTGTAGAGCCTGAGCTCCGAGACCATCAAAAGCACAGAGTGACACAAGCACCCAAAAGTCAGCACCTAGACGCACCAAGGCTTGGTGCTGGCTTGATTTTTTTTTGGCAAGCTTGGGCCTCCTAAAGCTTCAGGCCCGCAGAGCCCCCTGCGTCTCCCTCTTCTTTGTTTTCTGGGCGGTCTTCTTCTCTCATTCCTTTGTGGTTTGTTCCCTGTTCTTCTCTGCGGCTTCACATATATACACCTTTGCCTCAGCAAGTTCCTGGGCCGAGCCACCTGCAATTTCGTGCCAAGAACTCACACGACAGAACTTTGCCTCAGGGGTAAACGGCATCATCTGGCCCTGACGGCAACCCCGTGCAACGGATTTGTGCCGAGCTGAGAGCAGCTTCATGTTTGTCAGTGGTATAGGAATTCCGGCGTGTGGTGTCGAGTCTACTTCTTGTTTGGTTTCTCTCAATGCAAGAAAGCACAAGCCATTGTACAACATCAAGGGGCTGCAAAAAGACGCAAGCAAGCCCACCGATCTAAATCTGCAAGCACTGAAGCATCGCTCGGCACTCATGAAACAGCATGCACAGATCATGAAATACTGTATATTGTAAATACTCATCAAGGCTCAAGGGGTACTGTAAAATGTCTGCTGAGTCAATCTCAAGGCTGTTCGCTGCAGAGTAGCCGCTCGCGCGGAATGTCGGAGTGGAGGTTTCCAACAAACAGTTTGCCTAGGCACATATTCAAAATGCCACAAACCTCAAGCAAAGCATGCTGCCTCGGTGACTTGGAGGCCGGCAACGTGTTTTTTCAGCAACATATGATGCTGTGGCAGTTGCTGCCTCACACAGCATGTTCCAGGTTGTCTTCAGCCTGAAAACAGCAGCACTTGAAGGATCACCACGGTAAGACCAGGACTACTGGCATGCTCGAGGAGAAGTTGCTCCCTCCCTGCATCAACATCGCATGCTGATTGCTCAAGACGTTGGTCCACGGCATCGGTGCACCTTGTCGATGCTGCCAGTTAACACTGCCACCTCTGCAAGCTGCATGCAATGCGCCATGGCGAGTTCCAAAACGAAATCGGATCGCGGCCTGCTCCTCTTGTGGTGCAGGTAGCCCTGACCTCACTTGGCAGCACGGGAGCAAATCAAACAGCCAGCTTTGTTGCACGGACTCAGGGCCACTCTGCACTGGCTCCGGAAGCGCTCCGGGCCGAGCAAGTATCACCTGGAAGCCAGACAAGCCATGCCCACATGCCCACTTATCCACTCCAAGCAAAAGCTGAAAAATCTTGACATAAGCCCGGGGCGGCTAGCGGTTCGGGCGATGAGCTACCTGGCTTTTCAGCCGGAGCTTCGATGAAACGTCTGATGACATTTGAAGTACAGCCGTCACAAAATAGGCAGCACCACGCGGGCGGTAAACCCCGTTCAAGGCTTTGACAGCTGTCCCCGCGGCTTCAGCCTTTGCTCTCTGTGTCTCAGCTGTCAACAGATCATTTCATTTCGTGGCTCCCCGCCGTGCTGTACGTGATGAAGGCACAAGCCTTTCCACGTGGCAAACAACTAACACATCGGAAATGTTGCACGAGAAGTTACAACATTGTCATGCCACCTGCCAGTCGACCTTCTGACCTGAACACTCATGCGCAAATATGAGAAGTGCATGACAGCTCCTTGCCATCTATTATCTTCTTGTCCGGGTCACGACTAGACAGAGGCATCTCCGAAGATGACAAGTTGCCGTTAGGACCTCAAAACTCTGCACGTGACTCTGACATGCACGCACAACAGCAAACAGCCCCGCACACAGCATTGGCGTCCCTGGCCACATTATCACCTGGGTCAATGGTCAACATGGTCCCAAAAGAACTTGATGGGCAGGCCAGGGCTAAAGAGTGCTAGCTGCAGGCAATGCTGCTGCAGAATCACAGCTGGACAAGTGGTGGATGACCGCTTCAAAACGACATGCATGCAAAGCAGCATCAGGTGTGAATGATAGATGAAGCAACGATTGCAACAGGATTCTTGATGACGACGCTCAAATGGATGATGATTAAAAACGAGGAGGAAGTTGAGATAAAAAGTATGAGACGATGCAAGATAGAATACAAAAGCAAGACAAATCACGTGCAAAACCCCCAGTAAAAGTTTCTGGAAAAGGTTTGCTTCCCTCGAACGAAACAAACTTTTCCCCGAAACCTTAGTTCCGCTTGGGAAACTAACGTATCCCAGAAAGGTTACTCTCTGACCAAATAGTGAAGATTCGAAAGGTTTCCGAGAAACGTTTGTTTCCGGCTGACAAACAAACTCGCGTCTGCCCCTTGTGGGATGCGAATAGTAATAGTAATAGGTATACAGTAAATGGCCAAAAAGCAAGCTTCTGTACTGGCTCTTGGGCCACCCGCATCGGCTGCTTGCACGACTCCATACTTGCTGAAAATGTACTTTACCTGCAGGTGGTTCGTCCCAGCAAAACTTTGCGGAAAGTTGGCGCATGTCCACATTGCTCGAGTCAAGCGAATGGTGTTCACCTCCTTCTCCTTGATATCAGCAGGCAGGTTTTTGACCTCAGCCGACTGGAAGATGCTAGGCGTGTTCTCACGTTCATAGGAAAGCGAGACTACTGTTAGGAGTTCCAGACACGATGTGTGACCCCACAAGCACGATTTCGAGGCTGTTGGGAACTTTTGCACGCCCCCAAAATGCATGCAGGCTGATCCTTTGACAGGCATGCGCAAGTTGCCTGAGCAGAGCTAATCCAGTACTTGTTAGAATCCCCTTCACATACCTCAGTCCGCCTAAAATATACATCTTTCAAGGGTCATGAAAAGCCGATTTAGTAGTGAGAACATAAAACTAAAATCGCTCTATGTGCTTGTAGCAAGAAAAGCAGCACCATGTTGAGATCTACAGGACTCTCAGAACAGCTGCGCAAAGTTCTGTAAGCTGCAAACGAAAATTTTGGCATCTGGCGACATGAGCAATTAGTCGTTAGTCGGTACCACTTTGCTGGGCTATGATGCGTGTTGTTGTGTTCATAGCGAAGCCTGCGAAGAGGACTTCTAGCTGCACGATTCAGGTGATGCCAAGAAGCCAGCTAAAGCTGGTATGCGGCTGATTTTCTGAAATGCTCACACAAGCTGCTTGAGCGCGGCAGCTGCAATGTGACCAAGAAACATATCTCCAAGAAAGGCAGGAACGGGGAAGCTGCACCCCTTCCTCAGATCGGATGACGTGGAACTTCCACAGCTTGCTGGCTCTTCGGAGCGGATGCATGAACCTTGGTAGACTTGGTTCACTCCGCTGTGGCATCCCTGGAGGTCAGTGAAGAAGCAGATGAGCCGCAGGCTCGGTGACTATCTCTCGTGCCAGGCCCTGGAGACAAGTCTCACGGTCTGCACATGCCACTCCGCACTGGGTGCACTGGGGAATCCGCATTTTCTAGACTGTCTGCAATATCAAAAGCTCGTTCGCGTTCCCACTTGTCTTCATCCTCTTCCTGGCACACTTGGGTATGCCATGACAACGCATGATGTCTAATTCTCGCCTTGCCCTCCGGGGTTTTGGATGCCGAGGATGGAGAATTTCCTGGGAAGCAGAAACCGGATCAACCAGCAAGGAAGGATTCATGGTCGCGTGCTGGCGGCATGCTGCAAAGACACCCACCAAGGATGAAATCCAAGACGTGAGTGGGTTGGCCTCGAAAAAATACAAGTCTAAGACATCAGAAAGCCCACGAAACCTTTGCATTCCAGCCTCTTGCCCTGTCATACTGGTGCTCGTGAGTCAGCCAGCGGCTCCTAAACCCTTTAAGGGTGTAGTCAACCTCTGCTGCAAGTGTTGAGCCAAACCATGTAAACATGCCGTCAGTTCTCCAAGCTACATTTGCAAGTCATGAAGCCAGCTGCAACGGCATCCTTTGCACAGGCCAAATGCTGTTCCCTCGGCCCTAGACGGACTTGTTGCACTCTAAACTGCGTGTCATCCTGCAGCAAAGACGTTGATGTCTGTTGGCTTTCTCTCATAACGCAACCTCGGTCCACAAGGCTTAAGACGCTTGTAGCATAAGCATGGCTTCAGTCACTGTACATAACTGCTCGTTTCGTCCAAGTCAAACAGGCGTCACAAATTTGGTTGACCGTGGTGAATTTTCAGCCCAGTAGCAACTCTGCAAATTCACCCTGCTCAACGAGCAACGCTTGCTCGTACACCTGCACCACACAATTCATGTCACCAACTCAAAGATTTCGACGAAAAAACACTGGCCTTGCGAACCAGCTGAACTTCAAAGAGAATGCAAACCTCGAAACCAGCAATGCCAACAATCGCAAAACTTCTAACTTAAAACATGCTGAGCAACCAGCAATTGCCCAAAATGCATAGGCAGCATTAATGAAACTGCAAACGAAGATGCGGCCTGGAGTTTCTTGCGTCAACTCGCTGAAAAGTGCCACGACCGTAACTCATGATACACAATCACAGAAACGCCTGACTGCAGCACGTATGGATTTGCAAGCGCCTTCAAAAATGAGAACATACTATGAACATGGACATGGTCTGTTCTTTAACATCCTTGGGGCGTTGACAGAGCACATGTGGTTGCCCATTGGCAACCTCAGGAACAAGGTGTTTCTTCCATAAGACACGTGCCATGCCCACAGCTTGTTAGCTGTTAGCTTTTGTCAATCAAGATTGAGGCAAGCTGCATAATCGCAATGAAAATATCAAATGTCAGGCATCCAACCTCAAAACTCAGAGCTCAACGCTACGCACTGGCTGTCTTTGTATCGAACACTGGTGCCTGGTGCCTACCAACACGTTGATGAAGACTCTCAGGTGCAAACCAAGTAGTACACGAATCGCCTAACCTGGTCTAGGTTTGTGTACGAGCTCTGACTCACCTGATGCTCGCTGAACACGGAGGACTTAGACACAGACGTAAAGGCCAACATGCCAGTGCATGCCGAAATTAGCCATGATGAGTGCTGGAACCTCACCAACTCACACACAAGCACACCTTGCAATAACTTTGTTCATGCAACAAACTAAGAGCCGAGCACCGGCCAAAGCCAAGCATGTCGCAAACACCTTTGTAGAATAGAAGCACTTCGGCATACTGAATGTTACATCACCAGCCCACACAGCACCTGCAGATTGGCCCCCAAAGGCGTCCCGGCAATAATCCTCAGCAGCAAAAGCACATCAAAACGTTGGTTAACATGTTAGAACCAACCCATCATGCACGTGGGGTTTGGCTGAGGCTTCCTCAAGTTTTGGTGGGCATCCACTGCACACAGGAACCCCACGGCTCGAAGGAGCCTGCGGACAGCAATGCACAACTGTTCTACATGTGTGCTCAACCATCGCAATAGCACTGGGACACATACGTCAGTGCGCTGGCCAAATACCTCATAATCAAGACTCTGCACCGTGTGGCAAATCCAACTTGCACACGGGCTAGCAGACACTGCCAGTTCGACGAAGTTGCAAGCAAGCTTGCGCACTCAAACCTTGCAGGTTTTTGCTCGGACCGTCTATTTTCACACACTGTGTTGCAACGCATTTGCCCTGAGTTGCTCACAGTCCAGCATGGCGTCCCTGGGCAACCTACGTTTTACGGACCAGGCGGCTCATGCTGACAAGAGCCACACTTCAGAATTGCACAATTTGAAAAACAACCCGACAAGCATCAGACATTTGGCAGGAAACAACGCCCCAAACATCTGTTGAAGATTTAAAAGGCCGGGAAATGCTGTTAGCCTCCGAAAGAAGACATGAACCTCTTGTTTGCACACCTGAACTCACAAACATTTCACAATCAATTGGCACATAAGCTATGAATTTCACACACCTCCACTGCTAATTTTCCTCAAAACACACTTCTAATTTTCAAGCAATGCAAACAAAGAATCAATCATGAGCACTTCAAAAAAGCGTGCTGTCCATGTCATGTTGTTCTTGCAAAATCTTTGTTTCATGCTCAGTGCCTGACAGCAAAATCCGCACTGCGTAATTCTAATCACATGTAACCAAGCTCGTTGAAAAAACCGGGCGCGTTTGATGGAAACATAAAGAAATACGCTGAAAATGGTTAAGACATTAAGAGTGATGAATATCAAGAGATATCGGATAAATATCATGAAAGCTGAGAAGCTGATGAAAAATGGCGGAAGAAGGTAAGAACGATGAAATGGCAAAAGGATAATGCAAGATCTTGACACATGATCGAAAATCACGCAACAAGGTGGAAAAATGATGGCAAATCATAAAAAAAGCCATGCAACATATTGAAAAAACATGAAGCCGACAAAAAAAAAATGGTACGAATGATGGAACCTCATGAACATGATGAGAAACGTTGAACAGCATGAGCAATGACAGACGTTGGTGAAAAAGGAAATATCAGGGAAATGCGGTAAATCTTTGAAAATGATGAAAGCAACGAAGAATGTTGCGAGAAAGATGAAATACGACGCGATAAAACCACTCTTCAAATTGTGAACTCTTATTCGTTCAATATTTGACCGCTTGCATCACCACACAAATAATGAGCATTCATATCAAAAAATATAAATCAGACATACACGTCATTCAATCGAGTCAATCGGACAGCGCTCTTTTCTCGACAATGGGGATTTGTCCGCACTTCAGGCAAACACGACGTGGGCTAGGCACATATCCGGTCGTGAAATGCATAACCAATTAGTTTCGAATTTTGAAGCGAAAAGCTCAATCATACAGTGCATCTTGCACTGTAGTTGCTGTTCACAGAATCAAGTTGTAGCCAAAAGGACGCTGTACTGCAGCAGATCACAAACAGTATGAACGTGCACCTGCACAATAAGTACTGTCTGTCCAACACATGAGTTGCTCAAGGCATGTCATGGTGCGAACAAGTGTTTTGGCCTGCTCACATCGGAAATCCGCTGCACAAAAAAAAATAGTGCTGCTGTGGTCACAAAAGTTGTTGTCAACACGGACACCTGATAAAACGACACTGAAGAGTACACAGAATTTCTTCTGAATCGGCCAAAGGACAAAATCTACCAAAGCATATGCTCTGGACAAACCTTATAGTGCTTGTAAATTGATGCGCGCAAGCTGTTTCGCTCTGTGCAATGACATGTGCATCCACAAACGGTAGACTGATCCACACCGGGCCAGAGGTGGAACAATAAGTGGCAGAATGTCAGGCGGACCTTAAAAGCGAGGCCGCTTTCCGACATGGGCCAGCCGTGCGTGTGGGCGCTACTCTTAATTCCGAAGTCAGTCGCCGTAAGACACGAAATATCAATGTAAGCACCAGCCGTGGAGCTGGTTCAAGTAGTCCATCACCAAGAATGTTTGGAGGTGTGGACTTCAGTGACGCCGATGGCGGATGGAGGCAGAATGATGTTAAGAGTCACGTGTTTGCCGATGGGAAAGGCCATGATAACAGCCATGAAGGTTGGCATCAACGCATAACGGCTGAAGAGCTTGCAACGATTCCATAGCTCAGTACGGATCGATGTTTGCAGCTGGACCAGATACCACTGCGAATGCAATATTACAATGAACATGCCGTTGAAAACGCTGCATTGAACGTCACTTGCACGCAGCACTCAGAAAACAATCTTTAGGTGGAGTTACTGGTCAGTCGGTGATGAAGGTGCACACTGAATCCTGTTAGGCGCTGAATTTCCGGAATCCTGCGGAACATTCTCTCAAGAGCTGTCGGCGTCCATGGTCTTACATTTTGCTAGTTTCAGCCAGTTCGACACGAACATTCTCTAAGGTCCGGGACCTTTATGTGGTTCGGAGATGGTTCGAGGGTTCGGGGATGGTTTGGGGAAGGTTCGGGGGTGGTTCCGGGGTGGTTTAAGGGTAGTTCGGGAGCAGTTCGGGTGGTTCAAAAGACATTTCAGATTTGTCCGAGGACAAACTTAGAGGCGCACAAAAAATCCACAGGGAACCCATGAGGCTGCGCAGAAGCAATTTCACAGAAAACAAATCCAAGTCGTCGCCAACAGACTGCGTTTTTCTGCATTTTCGACATCGCCAATTGCAGTTATGCTCTCGCTCCTCCAGCTTCCATGTCTCTTCACCACACTTCTCGCACTTTGTTCCAAGCTTTGTTTGGACAATACCCAGCTCGATCACAATCTCTGACAGTTCTGTCGGCGTTGAAGTAAGCAAGCCGTCAAGAGAAAATCGCTCTTTCAGAGACGATCTTGACAAAGTTGCAGTTCGACCACGGCGCTGGTTTGGACTTCGGTCTCGAGTGTACTGTTGCAAGGTTGCTTTGGCTTTGGCCTTGCCTTTTGCTTTGACAAGCTTGTCATTGCGAATTGGAACAGTGGACGTGGATGGAGAAGTAGATGCCAACATTGCTTCTGCTTCATCTTTGCCACGTGCACCAGGTTGACGCTTTTTGGACATCCTGGTTGCAGCTGTTGCTGGAGTGCACTTGCATGTTCACACCCGAAGACTGAGTTGGTTGCGATCTGAGAGCGCAATTGTCTTTATGTCCTTCACCAAGATCTGTAGTCCAGAAAGTACGGCCTCTAAATTGGTCAGTTCTGCGTCTTTCTTTAATGATTCCATTTCTGCGTTTTCTCAGAGGTTGCGTCCTGAAGGATGCCAAACCCCTGTTTAAGTCGAAGTTGTTTCCAGTTTTGCTTGCGTAGCGCCGGTAAAGGTACCTTGCAAATTGCCAGCTGGTCAGGTTCTTGGATAGCGACGCAGCCAGGTTTGCACCAATCCGCTCCTGCGCTTCCTCTGCCCATGGAGAA